CTGTGAGGGTGACAGAGCATTGGACCAGGTTGCCCAGAGAGGTCGTGGAGTCTCCTTCGCTGGAGATATTCAAAACACGTCCGGATGTGATCCTGGGCAACATGCTCTAGGCGAACCTGCGTGAGCAGGGAGGTTGGACAAGATGATCTGCAGAGGTCCCTTCCAACCTCAACCATTCTGTGATTCTGTGATTCTGTGATTCTGTGATTCTGTGATCTGTGCTTCTAATGATGTTGTAGGTGAAATATTATTGAAATGACTCTAAGAGGCTTTTTCCTATCTGAGTCGATCTAACTTTCCTCCTTTCCTGCCGGTAAATTGTTATTTTGATTTTAGTTTCAATTTTCATTTACAACAAGAGGTAGTTGTCTAACTTTTTGGCCAGCATAATGCATATCAGTTCCTATCTGAGCTTTCCCAATCTAATCCTTGTTGCTTTCTTTTTCTGTAAAAAAAAAAATAGCTTTTTTGCCCATCACTTATGACAACTTTTGAACAGAAAGATACATGACTGAAAAAAGAAGGAAAAACAAAAGAAAAAGAAATCTACTCATTTCGAATTTAGAGATAGCTGACTACTAAAGGGTTTTGTAAAAAGATTCCAGGTAGATCCCTCCTGAGATGAAACACAGAATTTGAAGTCCTGAGCATGAACTGAACATTGTTATAACTGGATGAAGTTTTTGATAAGCTCAGTCACAGAATTAACTTCAACACTTTCACTATTTCTCTTCTTGATCTTTTTCCTTGTCTTGTTGTTTAGGGGGAAAAATGCTATTTCTTTTCATGGATCCTTGCTAATAATAGTTAATCTTTCTTTTCCACTTATATAGAGAGAAAAGACTGGTATTAGTATGTGTAATAGAGGTTACCTAAATTTTAGTAGATATGAAGATAGTCTGCTGTTTGTGCTCTGCTCAGGGGTTCTGGAAACACGGTTTATTGGGAGCCTTCAGCTGTAACACATAAGCTTCTTCAAGCAAAGGCAGTGATCAACAATGATCTTGCAGCAAGACTCTTCAGTCTTCCTTGAGGCCAGCAAGAGATTCCTGTTTCCCTGCCTCCTGAGGTATCAGCAGGGACACTAACCTGTCCTCTTGCTGCTGTAACACACCAGAAAAGGACATCTATTTGTACAAGGGAAGAAATTTGTGCTTGCTGTGGCTATTCTTTTTCGATATTTTTTTCTTTCCTTCTCCTCGGGGTCCAGTTAGATTTGTAGATATATTTTAAATGGGAAAGTTTTCCTGTTCAAAATCTTGTGCGGTATCTGCACATGCATAGCTGGCTCTGTTGCAGAGTGCACTGCAGCTAGTAACCAGTTGCCAACGTTCAGCACCAAGCATCCATCCATTTCAGCTAGCTGTCAGTACCTAGTGCTTCTGGAAAGCAGAGTGCTATACCCCATTGTTGTATTGTTATATATTTGTCATCCGTGTTTCTTAAGGTGACAGTCACTGGTGTGTTCTGGTACACATGTACTGGTAATCCAGACACCATATCTGCTCTCAACACAAGTCTGATTCAATAACCTTTCCCCTTTCCTTTTCCTTTCCTTTTTTTTTTCTTTTTTTTGGAAAAAAGAGGGAGAGAGAAGGTGAGGAGCAGCAACCTTCACATCGTAAAATCATTTATGCCTCTAGGGGACCAGTCATTATCCTGCTGTAGGTATTTCAAGTTGGCAAATCAATGGAGAAGATCAGGAATGAAGATGAAAGACCCAGCTAGTCTTGACCCTTGCCATTTCTTTTTTCAAGTGTCCCTCAGTGTTGATCATGCAAAGAGTTGTGCTTAGGCTTATTTTACCACTAGCCAAGTTGGAGAGAACTCATCCTCCTTTTGAACTTATCCTTTTTTTCTCCAAAGGCTTTTTGAAGCAGCCTTTGGGGTTAATGTTTTGTCTTTCGCTTGCTCGAGACTTTATTCTTTTCCTGAAGGCTCTGTGAAAATATTTCTGTCTTCTTCCTTATATTGTAATGATCGTCATGTAATGACAATAATGACATACATGGTCCAATCTTACAGCCCTAGAACCAGAAAACCAAGTGCAGGAATGTCCTCATAAAAGCTTTTGTTCTGAAACAGGGCTAAGCATGATGAATGAATCATTTACTTTGGGGACTGCTGGAGATAGTTCCTTTAATGCAGAGGCAAATTCTGCTTTATAGCAAACCATGGAGTGTGAAAGAATGTCAGTGACTGGGAAGAGCAAGGCTTCTCCATATGAAAGTGGGCAGTATTATTCTCTCCCTTGCTCCACTAAGCAAGTTGTAAAAGGTAAAATCTGTTTTGTAACAAAGGAGGACTATCTGCTATTTTAATTATTTACATTTTATGTGGAAAAATAGGGAAAACAAAAGTGCCCCTTCCAGATTTAGTGCCGCTATAATGAACAAAGGAGAGGATGTTTTGCTGAATTGCTTCTATTGGGCAATCTTGTTACTAATGTCTATTTGCAACAGCAAATCAACATCATTTTGAATGAGCAAAAGAAAGAACCAACTAAAATCTAATCTCTATTCTTAACTGAGAGGAATATACATTATCCTTATTGTGACACTCTGGAAAAAAAAAAAAAACTTTTAATGAGAAAAAGAAAGTTCCCAAAATAAGGTTTACGAAAAGTTCAGGAAGTACAAAATTACGGAAAACTGTGTGTTGAAGAGAGAGAGACATTTTATTGCCTAGTTTGAAGCTCCTTAAATTTGCCTGGCTTCTAGAAAGTATCTAGCATTTTTTGAAAACATATTGTCTTTAAAAATGTCTCTTGTAAAACATCAAAACTACATTATCAAACTCTATCTTTTTTCCTTGCTCGCCTCACATGTCCCAAGTTGTATGCTGGAGACCTTGTAGGCTGGTAGGTTATTTTAGTCATAAAAAATACTGAGAGTATTCTTTTGGAGCTTTTAAAAGTAAGCTGGATTAAGAGGTATTCAAGCTTTCCATGGCCTAGCCCTTACATTGCGGTGGAATGTGGAATTCCCTTTTGATAATATGAAAGAAAAAATATATTGTTTCCAATGAAACATGGAGATGTTTCCAAATGAATTCCCCTAATGAAGAAAGCATTTCCCCATAATTAGTCCTTTCCCCCATCTCCTCCCCTCCACACACTTTTTCAGAAGTGACCAATTTCCCACAGAGCAGTGTTTGGACATATTCTCAAATACCTCCATTTTAGTATAAATTTTAACGTAACTGGTGTAGTATATAAAGCTGGAACAACAAGTCCCAAAAGTGTATCAGTCACAGTTTTAGATTAATTCTTAGACTAGTCATTTGAGGTTTTAGCAGACTCTTAGAATATAAGTTTTTAATGATCTGGAAAAATCTCAAATCATAAGACTTCCACCACCTTGTAGCTTATTCTGCAGAAGATGTGACCTCTTCTCTTTCAACTTATATCAAAGATGTATCTTGATTCAGCAGCCTTGAAGGTGGAGGGATGGAAGGAAGATGGGAGGAAGGACTCTGAAGATTTGTGAGTCTCCCATGTTGCTA